ACTTGGGCGAGAGGGAATAGGTTGGCCAAAGTTACTATCGAAGGTTTATTGATAATAGGCCCATGGTTGGTAAAGGGAGAGGCTAGGAGTTTGCAGAACACCGGCTACACATAGGGGCAGCACCCCCCGTAAGTGTTATAGATGTTCGCTCCAGATCTCCTGGCATCTTAATCTCTTCTCCGCTCCTGCAAGGCTTGAGTAAAGTTAGAATATTTTAGCGACCTGTTCCGCCTTGGCCCAGCTGAGGGTTTCACTGAAGGTATTGACACTTCAGGTTGACTCATAGAATATTGCAGGCTGATGGACAGGACACGCAGTTTTTTTGCTTCTGGTTCAGCCCCTTTTTTACCGTGCTTCAAGATCAGTTTTTTTTAGGGGTACTGTTACGTAAATCACGCCGAGGGGCCTTGGGACGCTGGACCCGGTTTCCAGCAGGTTACTACTTGGTTACACCGGGTGGAATTGTGAGGTCCCGGCTTCGTCAGCGAATTTGGATTGAAATACAATGCTACAACTTACCAAAAAAAAAAAAAAATTAAAAAAAAAAAAAAAAAAAAAAAGAATTGATTTGGGCCCCAGGTAGTAGTTCCGAGCTATCTTTTTCATCTGACTGATTCCGTCAGGATCGAGAACTTACACAGTCCGTCCGGCGTCCACCAACAGTGTGTTCTAACGGCCAGTACGTTTCCCGGCCATTTTTCACCAATCCGGCTGGCAGTGCAACTGAGTGCATGCTTGCTGCAACTTTGGGGGTGTAAGCTGCTGGAGCAAAATGGCTGGCGTGGCCAGCGGAACGGAGGCCCATTGACTCTCGTTTGCTTTGGCGCTCAAAAGGTGTTTCATGCCTCCGGAAAAAAAGACGCTTACCGTGGGAAGTACTGGTGGTTTAAGGACCCTGCCACACAGCACAAAAAAGGGGAAAAAAACGAATGCACCTTGCCACACAAGGCAGCAAGATGCATTCATTTCTCTTCTCTTTTTAGTAAGCTTTCCCTCTTCCCTTCCTTTACCTGGCCGGCCCTACTATTGGGGTCGATATGAGCACCCTCCCTGTACTAGTTCCCATATTGATGGCTCCGGGGCAAGGTCCCACTTGCACGGATTACAAGATTCTGACCGTTGATCTGTGCTATCTACGGTCAATATCTCTTAATTCATGTAAGTGGGACCTAGCCCCCGGTCCATTGGTGGGGAGCTGCACCTGCTAGAAACCGCATCCAGCATCCTACTTGACAACTGCTATCAGTTTAATGTTGCCTTGCGGGCCCCAATATGAGTTTGCACTATCCCGTTTAAGTAGACTACTTCAATGGCTCCTTTGTAGCAGTCAATACACCCCAGCAGGAGCCAACAAACTCCCCTTGCTGGTGCTTATCCTGCATACTTGGTGGAAATCATCGACTTCACAATGTGTTAAGGGGAGGAGGAGGGGGGGCGGAGGAGGGGGGTGCTGGGTTGTAGAGAGGTCGCGAGCAGGCGACAAGTGGGTACCAATTGCCCAATGGGAGTCTCATGGTTGCCGGTCCCTCTGCATCCTCTGGGGCCTGTATTCTCCTGATCCAAGAGCTCACTTTGTCTGATGCTAGCTGTGGACGAGTAACCGGACTGACGCCCCCCAGAATAGAAATAGCACCCCTGTGTGTGTGTGTGTCTGTGTGTGGGTGTGTGTGTGTGTGTGTGGTTTTAATACAATAAAGGGGAGACTGGGGCTCTGACACACTTTTCTCCTTCGAAATAGGCAAAAGAAAAGACAGAGTGGCACTCGCGTCATGGTGTGAGTTTCGAAATGTACAAGTTTTAGAAGAAGGGGTCTAAAACAGTTCCAGTCATTACCCGCAGTGGTGCTTGGCAGAGTTTAGGGTCACCTTTTTTTGCCTTTTTTCGCTCCATTACGGGAAAACTGCTGAAGTTGCCTATTCTGGTCGCCTTTTTTGCTCCATCAAGGAAAAAGTGCTGAGCTTGCCTATTCTGGTCGTCTTTTTGGCTCTATTACGGGAAAAAGTGCTGAACTTGCCTATTCTGAACGTCGGGCGCAACTCCAAGGTACTTGCCCCTAAAATAACATAACAGCTCACACTTTCTTAATGATCTGTGCACCGCTGTGCTACTAGATGTTTTTTGACAAGACGATCTCGTTCCATAATATAAATTATTTTGTGTTTCTTGTATGGTTTTCTGTGAATCAGCATAACTGTTAGTTCTTATTCATAGAAAAAAAAGAACCATGGCCATGCTGCGCCAAGCCAATGAACTGTACCTAGAAAAGAAAGCAACTCGGAGAAAAGAAAGAAAGAAAGAAAGAAGAAAGCAACTGGGCAAAAAGAAAGAAAGAACGAAAGAAAAGGAAAAGAAAAAGAAAAGAAAAGTAAATCAAGAAAGAAAGAAGGAAAGTAGTTCAAGAAAGAAAGAAGGCAAAGAAAGAAAGAAAGAAAGAAAGCAAAAGAAAAGAAAGCAGTTCCATGAAAATGGAAGCACCTTCATAGACCCCTTAAACCACCATTACTTGGCCCATACATCGGCCACAGGGCATGGCCATTAACGCCCCGCAACTTTCGCTGCCTCTGGGCCGATAATAAATCGCATCGACGGCCCAGAGTGCGCCGCCAGCCTCCGAGAGTCGCGGGGAGTGCCCCGCGGCCGATGTATGGGCCAAGTACCCGGCGTGTGGTTTAACAGCCGACTAGAAAGAGGACTGTCACATCATTATTGATTTCATGCTGCTTATGCGCCCATACTCACCCAATTTAATTTCAATGGAGGATCTAGTTGCCGAGTACCCAGTTTAATTCCAACCGAGAATCTAGTTGCTGAGACGAGCAGCTCAACTGACTCCTAGTCGCATTAATTGGATCCGGCATTTCATTTTCTTTTTGCTAAACATCTGTAAGGGCGTGCTATTGGGAGTGGGAGTCACTGTGGTGGATCTACGCTCATCATATCGCCTTTCGTATCAATACATGTGTAATTATCTGGCAAGGCCGTGATTCTGGCCAAGCACAGCCCAGTATGACTGTATGTCCCAAGCCGGAATAGAAAAGCGCTCACACAGTAGAACTTAATGGATACAACTGGCCATAAATCACGTTCAAAATCAAGCCGACGAAATCCTCGGGCGAATACATCCTGTTTTTTTCGCTATATCGTATCCCTGTTGTTGCTTGGGACCCCCCTTATGAGACCCCACCTCCCCCTCTGGTCAATTCTCCCCAGCATAAGTTGCTTGCAACACACACATAAGTTGCTTGCAACACACATAATTGTCGGGGCAACTCACCAATCGGGTTCAGTCCCAGCCCCACCCTGGTCTTGTAGCACTCAGTGACACCCGCCATGTTACGAGTGCTCAAGTCTGGAAGGGCGACCTTTCGGTATGAATAGTCCTGTGATGGGTAGCACTCCGTACTCACCATGGGAAATCAAGTTTGGTGACCTGGTAGTTCTTCCTTTCTGCAGGAATGAGCTATATTAATATTAGGGGAGGGCACTGTAGCCCCCTGTAGATATAGTTTAGTTAGCAATTATGACAGTGTGGGTGGCAGAGTCTTCTTTTGCTTTGTTTTCTTTTCCTGTGGGATCTTAGTTTTGGGGTTGCTCCCCTATTCGGGTCTCAAAGAGTCACGGAAAACGCAAAACTGGGTAATGCTCCCAGGACCGGCCTTTATGTGAGGTGGCCGGCCCCCTTTCTTTCCTCTTCAATGTGTAATGAATGTCTTCTACTTCTTCCAAAAAAAAAACAAACAAACAAACAAACAAACAAACAAACGCGAATGAGTGGCGACAAACATACCCCCGCACATGCAAAAAACCTGCAGTAGAGACCACTGCGAAAGCTAGCCAAAGAAGAGCTGTTATGAGGAGGTGAGGGAGAACACACACACACACACACAAACTGACATCCATAAAACACACACACACGCACAAACTGACATCCATAACACACACACACACACACACAAACATAAACTGACATCCAGAAATTCATGGAACCTTATGCACCCGAGCACACACATCCATGAATCTACGGAGCACCATGCACGTACACACTAAGGAACACGATTCAACGCGACTCAGACCCCCGCGTTCATGCATGAATACATGCGTACCCCATACATTTTTTCTTTGAAGCTCAGATCGCAATATAGCAGGAGAGATTTTGTTCAAATCATATGTCGTTTCCAGCATTCAGAAGCCAGAGAATACACTCATGGACAGATCAGAGGCCCGCCGAATTGGAAGTCAAAAACACTAGACAAACGAGAAACGGTAGAAATACAAACAAACAAAAATCGAAAGGCAAGAGAAAAATACTGCTACTTATAAGCACAGTCATCGCACCTGGCTGGAAACCGGGTCCAGTATCCCATTGTTGAGATGTATTAAGACGTACACTCGAGAAAACAATTGGCTTACGTTTTCAAAAAAAAAAAAAAAAAAAAAAAGCAGAGACATCAACCAGTTCATTCAACGTACAAGGATGTTTTCAAGACATACCTCGTTCGCGATCGATGCATCTACAAGACCATACACCAACCGAGACCCGCGGTCCCGCATATGCTAAAAAAGAACTCAAAACAGTTCCCAGTATCATCCACTGCGGGGTCCGAATCAGCAGATCGATGGCAGCTCTTCCAGCATAGTTATTGCTCTTAGGGCGTACTCACACTAGCAGTATCTCAAACGAATCTGCCCGCATTCACGGCCATACCTGGATATGTCTGGCCGCAATTCCGTCCAAAAATAGTTAAAAAAAAAAAAAAAAAAGTCCTGTTGTGAGTATGCCCTTATGCCATCTCCCAAACTTAGACCGTTGCTTCATATGAACAACACTGGGCTCCGCCGATCCGCGCCGTCATCAAGGCACTTGCAGCAGAGGATGAATGGCTACAAATAAAGTTGGAAAAACCTCAATTCAATTTTAACCTACCCCTGCGGCCTACAGAGATACCATCTCAATGCGTACAGAGAAACTACTTCCATGCTACACTCCGTAGAAACCGATTTCAGCTCGAAAGACTTCATTATAAAAACAAAACAAAACAAAACAAAAAGGCTATAATGTCATTCAACAGCAATAGAGGAAAGAAGTGCCTATAGCATTCACTTGTCACCGTGCATCTTCTGCTAAAAAGGCCTATAATTATCTAAGCCTGGCAATAGATCAGACGTGCGAAGGGTCTGCTCAGCGCAGTCAGTGCAGTGCAAGGTCAGGACTCAAGGGGAATCGGGAATCTATACTCTAACTGCACGATCGCTGGGTCTGGTTGGGATTGATTCTGGACGATGAAGAGAGAAGAGTCGGTAACTATCTTTTGATAAGATAACCATGAAATCTTATACACCACCTTCAGATTAGATTCCATCAAGAATGACAAATTACTTCACGAAGCCAAACAAGCCGCGGGTGGGAAGAAAGACGTTGTATGTATATCTATCCAATGGCATCTATCTCTATATATAGTCATAGTACTTGAGAGAAAAAAAGTAGAGCGTCTACCTAACTCCGCTGTAAAGCAGACCGGCTAGCTAAAGCTTCGTCGCATGTAGGAATGAAAGCCAGCCTTGAATGGTAAAAGCAACCTGCTTCCGAACACAAATTGACTATCGACTATAGGAATAAAGCACTACACAGCCAAGTCTTCGCTAACGCAGAGCTCGCACAGACCCCTACGCGTTTGGACCAGCTGCGTGGAGGTCTTCACCAGAGGGTGGATCGTGTGTTAAATATATACGAGATACGACGATACACAATGCGGTACGGTTCAGACACACGGACCTCCTTCCGGCCACTTGTCGCTCAGGCAGTGATCCAAGATGAGCAGACAGCTCGTCCATCGCACAGTAATCCAATCAAATGCATAAAAAAAACAAAAAACAAATAACGACCAAGAAGAAAGATCTCATCAGTGAGGGGATGGATCGACTCAAAGGCAGTCTTTTGGGGGAACAAAAAAACAAAAAAAATAAAAACGAAGAGCCAATGTGAATCGCGTCAATTTCTCATGCAGAGCTACGTAGATTGAAGTATGCGACCTGGGCGCACTCAATAATTCCTTGCTTAGTCCTTAGGTAGCAAAAAGTCGCGGTTCGGGCAAACAAGGCACCCAACTTCAAACTCGCTCATAGTACTAAGTAACTACTAAACTCGCAAAAGTCCAACCTGAATCAAATTAATTAATGTACAAAAAGACGTGCAGGATAGAACCGAGCCCTTAGTAGGCTGCAAACTGGCAGTTAGTCATGCGTGTACCAATGCCCGAGGGCGAGAAAGTAGTCGCCACGGAGAACAGCGAGAGACCGACTGAATACCAAGGGGCAACAAACGGGGAACCAAAGAGAAAGAGGGAAAGAGAGGGAAAGAGAGGGAAAGAGAGGGTATAGGGACAACACAGTGGGAGCCTCGGGACAGAAGAGAGGGAAAGGAAGGCAAGAGGGGTACAGAAAAGCTGTACTAAAGGCTGACAGTGTCTTACTTGTACAAGTAAGCCGACCACTCGCCTCTCTACGAGAGAACTAAGTATGAGGTTATGATCACGCGAGAGAACTACGGACAAGGTTATCATCCCTCATACATACATAGTCGAAAAGAGTAGGATGCAATAAATCAACGCACGCATTGTAAACAAACCCTCGAACAGGATATGGAGGTAATGGTACTGATACATATCGGAACGCAGACCCTGCAAAAGATTCAGAATGTGCAAACTACACCAACCAATAGGGGCTGAGTGCAGAAACCACAACAATGCCGTGCCAACATACAACATCAGAGGAGCTGACATCTACTATGCCGCAGATTGACAGATTGTGCACTAGAATGTACTCGAATAAGGGGGGGCTTACATAAATGGTGCAGACCCTGCAGTCCTCTAGTCCGATCAGAAGGCTACCATTTCGCGCAGGCTGTCGAGTCCAGCACTCGAAATCAAAAATTTGAAAATGGTCAGAAAGGCTTCCTCGAGCACAAAGCCGAGCAAGGAACGGCTGTCTAGCACAAAGCCGAGTAAGGAACGGCTGTCTAGCACAAAGCCGAGTGAGGAATGGCTGTCTAGCCAATCGAATTCGACTCGGCTCGGACAGCATCGAAGTGCACACCAATAGAGTACAAAGGAGGGCTCAGGTAACTCACACTGGCAAGTTCAGAGAGAATCATTACGTCAGAAACATCACCTGCCTGCTGGCAAAACGTCAGCAGCAGTGAGACGTTTGCTCGCCCTCATAATAATTAAGAAGAGTGCGATGGGATCGATTGAATCGATGGGAAGGACGGTGGGGCGGATGGATCGACAGACGTTCGCCGGGTGGATTCGATGAAAATAATGTACATGTGTCACATTAGCAAAGCTCAGACAGCCTATGTTGTTGTTGTTGTTGTGGGGGGCGAGGGGTGAACTACGAGCAATCTCTCAGCAGGACTTTGTTCACTGAATATGGTCGCACAACAGCGGTGGTGAGATGCATTCAGGTGCATTCAGGAACGGAGAAGTGTGGGTGTACCCTAAAAGCCGCACGCCAGACTCTCAAATAGTGCATAGGTCTGGCCTTCGCTCTCTCGCAAACAGCAAGTCAGCGAGGATTTAAAATGAAGAACTCCGGACGTCGTTAAGAACTCTCGACTTCGTTGAAAAATTTATTATTATCTTTTCCTACATCTTTTGCGCCAGCACATGGCCCTATTCGACTTCAGAGTTAAGAAAAAAAAAAAAAAAAAAAAAAACCTGCAACTTTTTTGCCGAACCTCACCCGTGCGATTGGCGGCACCTGCTGAGAGTTTCTGATCTTGAGAGGCTGACAGTAGTAACACTGCGACATTCGATAACTCTCTCCCTCTCACACACACATTCATGCCCTCTTTTCCGCGCGACTTCGTTATTCGTCAATGTGTATAGCCATACTGAGAGTAAGAACGACCTGCCGGACAGCGTGATTACTTTCTGCAAAGGCGGGCAAAAACACCCGCGAACGCCGCATTAATGTAAATAGTGGCTTCGTTTTGCTGGTAATTATCCCTGCCATCGAGGAACCCATCCTTGAAGTCCGGTCCTCCGACAATGGCACCGATCAGCACGTTCGGATTTGCTCTATCAATGTAGTACCAGGCGTCCCATCCCCCATTACAAGAGAAAACGTCTGAAGGGAGGACCGAGCCAGCTGGCGACACTGGGTCCGCAATAGACGCTCCACGATGGTGCACACGCTGAGGATAACTGACGCCATAGCCAACCATGTAGCTCATCTTCAACGGATTTTTGCCCAGGATGTACTGGGCCTGCGAGTCCACCCAGCTATGAACCTGATCGCTGGTCAAGCCGCAGGTGAGCGGAGTGACCACGCGATTCGTGTAAATGAGGGATAGCAAGGTAGCCGTGCCAACGTATTGATTCGGAGCCCACTCCAGCATCCAGTGTAACCCACCGGGAGTCTTCGGCGCCTGGGAAGCCACGAAACACACGTACCGGTCGGCGATCGCGGTATAAGGAGCCAGCATATTGGCAACGACCGTGTTTCCAGCCACAAACGCGGCAGATGCCACAGTCGCCAGCAGCACTTGGGCGGCTGCAAGATACGACGGAACAAGACGGAAAAACCGCAATCCAAGTCAGTATATACGCAAAATTTTATCCTTCCTTTATATGATCCTCCTTTTAAAAAACTACGCTATATTTTTCTCTCGATTTCGCCTTTGAATTCACTGTCTACCTACCACTACTCCTAGGCCTATACCTATACCGACATTTTTAAATAAACAACACCAGAAAAAAAAAAAAAAAAAGAAAGAAGAAAAACATACCACTAAAGACCGATGCCAGCACAGCTGCAAAAAGGCACAACCTCATCAGCACCACATCATCACGGGCACAAACGTCACAAAAAAATGGAAGGTGAGAGCGGTTTCAAATACCCGGTGAATATTGCAGGGGTTGATTGCAATCAGTGCCAGCCCCCAATTTCCCCTACCAAGGCTACACCCAAAGTGGCAAAACGGATGGAATATGCAAGCAAAAGCCTCGACTGGAAGATGGAAGCAAACTCCAACTATCACCGCACTGCAGTATCACAGAATTATTTTCTTCATTCTTTGCCATATCAACGGGGAAGGCAGACGGAGAGAGAATTATCATCTTCAGTCATTCTTTGCCATACCAACGAGGAAGGTAGACGGAGGGAGAAAGAGCAATTGTCGCAAATGAATCAATCCGGGAAAAGTCCGCCGCGTTGCATATCAAACGAGAAGCCAGCCAGATCATAGACAATACGAAAAAAGACAACCATGCACATTAACCGTGCTATCGGTAGCTACCTCCGCTCATCCACATTTCATCGCCGGATCGTTATGACCAGCGTCTGATTACGGTAAGCTCAAAGTAAGCATTCTTTCCTTGCCTTCCTTTTTCTCTCCTCCAGCATCTGATCACAGTAAGCTCGAAGTAAAAATCTTTCCTTGCCTTCCTTTTTTCTCTCCTCCGACCAAGTAGTAAAGTCGAGTCTCGTCGTTTCATTGAAGTCGATTAAACATACAAAATGAGAAATATAAGAAGGTTAGGATCTGAAACGGCCATAGTCCCGAGAAACACTATGCTAAGATGATGTCTCTAAGGGACGCTGGCCTCGGTTTCCAGCAGGTGTCTCTCCCCACCAATAGATGAAGCAGTCCGACAGGTGAAAAAGCCTCAATTCCGGGGGTTCTCTTACCACCGGGACAGAAGCCTCGCAAAAGGGCTTTGTTGAAAAAAAAAAAAAAAAAAAAAAAAAAAAAAAAAAAAAAAAAAANAAGAGGAATTTCGTCATTATTTAAGGATTTCCAAACATGGCAAGTCGCATGACACCCACCTTCCGAAAGTTGACCGACACCGCTCACAACAACTTTTGAGTCAGAGAGAGAGAAGCGAAGAAGAAGACGCACACCGCGGCACACGCAATGGCCAATTGCTCTGCTTGCGCAATTCCAAACGTCTTGTTACAAGTCCCTTATTATACAAACCGTATTTCCATGCTCGAATACCCCCTCTGGGGATTTCAAACGGGTGCGCTCCGGCGTCAAACGCAGGCTAACCGCATACACCCGTGCCTTTCGGCCCACCTGAACTCTAGCAACTGTAAGAAAGAGAGAGACTGATCATATGCGTAGAACAACAACACAAACTTCACAAAGGGAGCGAGATACAAGTCAAGACGAGTTAAGTTTCTTTCCTTCATTTTTGTGAGGTCAGGCATAACTATCTTCCTTACTACGATCCTAATCTGCTGCTCAGTTAACCTTCCCCTTTTTTTTTCTGGGGTAGTCAATGCTGGCAGTAACATCTGAAGTATGGAGCATAGGTTAGCATTCTGAGCATTCAGAATCTTTCATGTATAATGGGACGCTGGACCCAGTTTCCAGCAGGTGCTGCTCCCCACCAATAGAACGGAGCCTTGTTAAAAAAAAAAAAAAAAAAAAAAAAAAAAAAAAAAAAAAAAAAAAAAAAAAAAAAAAAAAAAAAAAGAAAAAAAAAAAAGAAAAAAAAAAAAGGTCAGGACCGTCAGGCATTTCAGAGTGGCGGACGCAAGGCTTCCTCGAGCGTCTTGTACAGTTCAGCAAGACTCTCCCCATCCGCCGGTCAACCTTCGTCGTTTCCAGTTTCACAAATGTGGTACATACATCCATCGTTATCATGACCTCTCTAATTCTTGCGCACGAACGAGCAAATACACTAAGTTAAACTCGGATGAGAGCAAGAGGCCAGGTACCGAGATAAAGGAGGGAGCATGAAGGAGAGACGGCAAAAGGTAAATTCATCAGCTTTTTTTCCCCTCCCCTTACCAGCATTATTGTCGTCCCATGAGCACTCGGGACCAAATTTCAAGCTGTTGACAATCACGGGGGCCGTCACGTAAGCCAGATACTGGGCCTCTCCGGTGGCCCTAAGTAGCCAGGCATTGCAAGCAAGCACCTCGTCCACATCGCCACTCGTAGATGTGTAGAATTTCTTGACCTCCGGAATGCTGTCGCTGTACTTCCCCTGACACAATTAGCATCACACACCCAAACAACAACAACAAGTTACTAGTATTACTCCATTATGAGACTATTAAGTAGCATGCCAGTCATTTTGACATTCCCTACAAGATTCATTCTCATGTTGCACATTTGGTGAGTAGTTCGACGAAGTCCTCATCTTTGAGGTTCCACGAACAGTGGGGTCCCCTTTAGCAACTCCCAATCGCAGAACAGGATCAGTTTGCTTGCGTTGGCAAGTCCAGGTAGCGGAAAGCTGGTTGCACCTCCCGTGAGAGTCTGAGAGATGGTTGGGTAACAGAAGGCCAGAATTATTTCGTTGATTTCCGTCTTAGGGCCATATCCCACTAGCCCCTTTCTATTCATTTCTGACCGTTGATCTTTGTAATCGAGGGTCAAAAATGAACAATAGGGGCTAGTGGGATCTGGCCCTCAGACGTTATAGTGACAAACCTGGGAAACGCCACACCACTCTCGAAATGTGAAAAAGGACAAAATTGAGGCTGGTGCATCTAGCCATGTTCTAGCGGGAAATTCGTTCTCATTTTGCACACTTAAGAGTGGTGTAGCGATGCCCTTTTGACTGACCCAAACTTTCCCGAAGCTGTAGGGCGAAGAACAAACAAATATAAAGCACAAAGAGACATGAGAAAAGATTAAAAAAGCAAAGCTTAACAGCACTCAAGAGGGGGGAAAAAAAAAACAAGGCCAGTGGAATGTCTTTCACCCTTGGCAATCCCCAGATTCCAGAAACACGAATTTCAGTGTTTATAGCAATAGCCTTAATACACCGGAGTGGGAGGGTCTGCTAACCACGACCAACTGCTGCAGCAGTCGAGCAAGAGGCCCAAACCGACCGCCGGCAACAATCGACAGGTGAGGTGAATATGACAAGACTCGAATGCTGAGTTTCGAAACTTCCAGACTAGCGTCTTAACCCAAATGGAACACCCAGTCATTACATCTGTATTTGGAGTCCCTTCCAGTCTAGATACACCAATAATCACGGGGCGTTTATGAGGGTGAACAGGATAGTCAAAAAAAAAAAAAAAAAACAAAAAACAAATTTCAAGCAACATCTCGGCCGTCGCGGAAAGCCGGTGGCAACCATGTTCTTACTCCAATGAAACTCGCTCTTTCGAATGGATCTTGCCCAATGCGTTGTCCAGATGCATTCAAAATGTGCGCGGACGAGGAAAGGTGCAACATGGGCTTGATGTTAATCACACGTGCAGGAGAGGATATAAAAACTCACATTTCCCTTCTATTTAACAAAGAACAAGAACCTCAGCACGCTGGGTGCGTAAGGTTCCAAGTTGTGCAGAATTGGTTTGTGCTGCGTTGCAGGTCTTACATTCATCTGACCGCATATAAGGCAGGGCCGCAGGACCTATATTTCCGCCCAGAAATAAGTACAAAAAGTGGTAGTGTGAGTGTGCTCCTGGTGGCAATCCCCTTTTTTTTTTTGGGGGGGGGGGGGTTAGGAATCCCGTTTTTTTCTCAATCTCAGGGCACGCTCACACTACGATCCCCGAATACCATATTTCGAGAAAATGCAAAGGCCGGATTTGCCGTTTTAAAGGGGTACGGCCGGTCACACTGTGTCCCTATTTTGGAATGGACACGATCGCAGCCGCAATGCGATTTGGGAAAATAGAAATTGGCGATGCTACTTGAGAAAACGGGAATTGGCAATGCGGTTTGGGAAAATGGGAATTGCCAAGTCGCACAGCAGCGACCGCAATTCCTCATGTGTGATTTCTGTTTCCTTGTTTGTTCGTTCTTCCCCTGTTCTGCTTCCGCTTCGCACCAACGGCAAAGGCTTGCTTCAAGTGTCTGATCGCGAATAATCAAGAAAAGAATACAAATTTGCGGTGACCTCTGCAAATTCCCTACCCCCAGGCGGCTGACAAATGGTGCACCAAATAAGTGATTTGGGGATTTAAAAAATCGGTCTTTACCCCTTTTTCTGCGGCCCATTAGATGGGGCCCTTTCTTTTCACAGAAACAAAACGACAAAAAAAAAGTTGTGCAAGAACACTGAAAGTTGTGCAAGAACACTGCTTTCTCTGGACTACTTCCTAAGCTGGGGTAGTGGTCCCAACGCTTGCACCCAAGCAGGATAATGGTCCCAGTACCGACGCTGCACCCAAGCCGGGTAATGGTCCCAGTACCGACGCTGCACCCAAGCTGCGTAATGGTCCCAGTACCGACGCTGCACCCAAGCGGCGTAATGGTCCCAGTACCGACGCTGCACCCAAGCTGGGTAATGGTCCCAGCACCGACGCTGCACCGTAACAGAAAACTCATATTCCCCAACGACTGCACCGTAGTGGTCCCACTAGTTCCGGGTTGTTAGTTGAGGAATTCCCGGCCTCTCATTCCAATTTTTTATTTTTTATTTTTTTTCAAAGGAACCTCTCATTCCAATTTCGCAATGTAATGTTTCTGGTTGCGTAATTAAAAAAAAAAAAATACAGTGCACAAAAAGGATCCCGTGGCTGGGAAGTACAGTGGAATGCATCTGGGTTGTTATTTGAGGAATTCACGGCCTTTCAAGTTGTGCACAAAACGGACCCGCTAGCTGCAGTGGCAACTTGCAGCGAAGTATCCACTCCCTCTATCAGTAGCGATAAATTTTAAGAATCATTAGAGGGAAGTAGAGTGGAATGAGGAATGGCTTCTATTGGGTTTCGTTCCAGAGGAGAGCTCGGGAAAGAGGGGTGGTCCTACGTTGCCCAGGTTGCCAGAGCAGTTATCTTCTCGGTGATCTGGGGGACAGAATCCGCTCCAGATTCGATCAGTGGCCCTTCTCGGATCAGCAAACCCAGAGACTCAGAGAGCAATGAAAAACGGTCTCCGCCAGGCAATTTTTGGCAGATTGGAAGAAGGTTCGCCATGGGAGGGCCTCACGTCAACCAAGGTGGTGGTTTTTAAAGACAAGTCAGTTGGATATCACTACCCCAGATCGCTTGTTCTCACCCAGAGGCTCCTGGAGAAGTAGGCGAGGGAGGATAGTAGCTCCAGGAGTGGGAAGGACAGGACGCCTTCTCCGGCCGCTGGGGATACGTCCCTTCAAATCAGAGTAGTTCGGTTCATGGTTCAGAGTTTTCAGATCGCAGGAGGTCATAAAGGGGTGGTGGCGGAGAGTGCCAGGGTGTTTATGGGGGTGTTTATGGCAATATACTTCAACGGGTTACAGCCTTGCAGAAGGCCGGTGTCAGGCCATATATAGGCCGGTGTCAGGCCATATATAGGCCGGTGTCAGGCCGTATAGGCCTGTGAATTAGTCATAGGCTAATCTAGGTTCGCTTACTTAGGGTTTATGATCTTTAGGCCATTTTGTGTCAGGTGGGTGTAGAGAGTTCCCTCTCAGTGGTAGCGTTTATTAGCTGGGCAGAAGGAAGATTGCAACTGAGCGCGTTATGGTTTTGACATATGCGTCTGCTGCCCTGATGGCTGTAAGCGAAACTAGCTAATGCTGCGATGATAACTCTAGGTGGAATTGTGAGGTCCCCGGCCTCGAGCTGTTCCATTTGCAATATATATCAGTGGGAAAAAGAAAAAAAAAAGTTCTCAGCACATTAAAAAAAAAAAAAGTTCCGGAAATTTTTATTGGCGCTCAGGCGAACAGAGATTTCAACTGTGTGACAACTCCGCTCACTTACCAACGGGCCTAGCTTTGTTGGTACACCCCCCCTGAACTCAGTCTATTGAAATACAGACTCAAGTTATGAATCCAGACACCTTCAGATGAAGAGAATAAAACCGTTCTGAATTGCCTGCCTGGGCCCGGTCAGCTAAATGATGACATCTAAAGGCCGGCGCCCTTTTAACAAGCAATAAGTCGTTCGAACAGGCCGCTTGCAGGAGCAGAAAGGGAAAAAGAAAACAAAAAAACACGCTCACAAGCAGCAGGTTCTGGGAACAGGCCGCTTGCAGGACCACCAAGTTCCACGAACAAAATGAAGCCGCTAACCAACTGAACTGGCTCAGTTGGTACGGTACAGCGGTTGGTACAACCCTGAGCTAACCAACTGAACAGGCGCAGTTGGTACGGTACAACCCTGAGCTGTTGAAATACGGAGCTGCGTTCAAACTTCGCTGGTAGTATTCTACAATTCTCAATTACCTTTCCTCGGTAACACCGGGTAGAATTGTGATGTCCCCGGCCTAGACCACTTCTGTTTTGAAACATAAAGCGACAACTACTTAAAAAAAAAAAAAAAAAAAAAAAAAAACATTTCTCAATTACCTAGGGTAGGTCCATCCGATGATGATATCTGAAGGCCGCTAGCAGACGCTAGCAGATGTAAGAAGATCCAGAGCGGAACAACGGCAAGTTCGAGAGAACAGCCACCACGGCAGATTCCGGGGAGAAGCCTACGTCAGGAGGCAAAAGTTGGCCACGTGTAGACGCGTCTTAATCCTCCCAAGTGCACTGAAAGGCAAAGCTTGGTGCAATTACCATCAAAAGAATGGCATCAATTCTCAATGTCCCATCCTGCAATCCTAGGGGACTATCGTGTGCGCGAGTTTGCGTGTGTTTTGGCATGTTTAGGTCTGGTGTTGTAAAAGACCCCAGATTCTCTCTCTCATTCCCTTGACAAATCATCACAACCCATCCATAACGAAAAGGTACAGAGAGGCAATATAATAGAAAACGCAAGGTTGGCCACGTTTGTGTGGTTCAGCGGCAAGTGCCCACACACCCGTCTGCCGCCAAAGCGGCACACTTGCACATATACATATACGTATGCATTCTGATTACAAACCATAAGGGGATGGTGGTCAGAAGGCAACTTACCCAAGACAGAAGACTACTCCAGCGAGAAGACACCGACCCTACCCGACCCCCTCAAAGGTCCAAAAAAACTTGGAGAGCCTTCCGCATCGGCCCACAAAACCAAAAACTCATTTACCAAAAACAATCGGCCCACAAAACCAGAAACTCATTTACCCAAAAACAATCGGCCCACAAAACGAAAACCTCATTTACCAAAAATCAATAAAATATAAGAGCTTTGGGGCGCTTCCTTCCTTCCGCCTAACCGTGCTCTTTCTTGTATTACTGTATTTTCTACCTTTCGTTGAAAGTTCAGGTTCTGTTCTAGAGAGGAGAACCAAAAAGTACCAAAACATACGACTCCTCTACTCAAACGATGAGAACAAACTCACGTTGACGTTTGGAGGCTACCATTCTGCTGGGAATTCTATCTACTTCAACCCGACGATCTTAAAAACGCAATGCCCAACAGTGTAATCTTACGGCGCACGGCGCCCTTCGCGCGGAAGGGAAAGTCCCAATAGAGCGAGCAAAAACGAAGCGAACGTGGGGCCAGAACACATTCTCCAATTCTTCAACCGACACCACGTGGAAGCGCAAATTATGGTCTCCAATTCTTCAACCGACACCACGCGGAAGCGCAAATTATGGTCAACACCTCCACACCGCACGGACGTTAATGCACGCGGAAAGGTACCAGTACCACGAGGGTACAGGTGGACTATCAACCTAACGAGCGAGCGGCAGCTGGAAAGCAGTATTTGCGCCGATCAGGACGTACGATTGATGTACTGACCACTGACCAGACATGGAACCTACAAACTCCATTGGGAAAGGCCGAACAGGTTCCATATCAGGTTGTGCGAACGCTACAGGACGAAAGGCATTCACTCAATTTCACTGCATTACGTTAGAAAGGGAAATGTCTGGTCCACACTGCAAAGGACGGCATCAGAAGTGCGCGGGCCCTGGGGTCGATCGCTTCGCATCAGAAGTGCGCGGGCACTGCGGTCGATCGCTTCGAATCAGAAGTGCGCGGGCCCTGCGGTCGATCGCTTCGTACCCTGTCAGAACGTAACTAGACGCAAAACTGCATAGGTTCATGATTCTACTGCAGAGAGATACCCCGGTGCACATCTTAAGATATGCGCAAGATGCCCGTTTGGCTTTTTTCCTCTTCGGGCCCGGGGAAGTACACTTTTGTCTAATAGGGAATGATACGCGTAACTGTCCCTGAGGGTCACGTCCGCAGGACAAACGAAAGGACCATCACTGCACTGCACTGCAACGTACCAGAGATGTCGAGGATGGCAGCGAAGCATACTTGCTGAACTTGTCGAGGATTTCATAACTAAGGAACGCAAGCCGACGAGCAGACAGCCAGATAACCCGTGAGCTGAACTTGCCACGGAGAACCTGAGAGGGGCAAGGTGCTCGTTTGCCCTTCTCCTTTTCGGGGCCGTGGAAGTCCACTTGGCCTGGTAGTCGCTCACAAGCCGCGATTGCCCGCTACGGTACTAGTGCCACGATTGCAGGAGAAATAAAACTCCATCACTGCGACGTGGCAGGGCGTATTAGAAATACTATTTAAGGATGGCAGCGAATACTAGCTAAAGAGTAGTGGAGAGAAGGGATCTGACCTCCTGGGAAGTTCCAGTGCTTTACGTGTATTATTAACAACAAAAAAGAAAGGAAGAATAGATTGGAAAATACATTTCGAGAATACATTTCGAAAACACATTTCGAAAACACATTTCGAAAATAAATTTCTCACTCCTCACTCCGGGTTGTTTACGAGGAATTCCCCCGGTCTCAATTTGGTCATTTAGGGCCCATCGCCAGCCCACTCCCGAGATGGCCGAATTCCAGAACAAAGCCCTGAGGCTCGCCGTTAATTAAAAAAAAAAGGAAGAACGGATTGGGAAGTACACATTACATTGCTCTCTCGGGGTTTGTTTGTGAGGAATTCCCTCGGCCTCAATTTGGTCATTTCGGGCCCATCGCCAGCCCACGCCCGAGATCGAGATGCCCGAATTCCAGAGCAAAGCCATAGCCACAGCAGCTCTCGAATTCGCCTGTCAGAGATAAACTCAGGAGCTCTCAAGAAGGGTTCTCCGACAGCACTCCCTATTTGTGCAAGCAGGCGAATTCGGGAGACCACCTCTGGGAAGAGACCCGCCTTTTGCTTAGACTTCCTGAGACCATGCCGCGACTGACATCCACTCCATCGCCACGGATTTGACAGATTTGACAGGAAAAGCGGGGCTCACTGCACTCAAGAGGACACTTTGCCCTCGAGTGTTCTGCACTCAAGAGAACTTCCTAATTTGGGAGTAAGCCGTTCGAGAGTGCAGTGTGGCCACGAGTGCTCTCGACGGCCATTTCCCGCGGCCTAAGAGTTTGGGAGTACTCCCCAAAAAAAGTCGGGATCCCGGAGTAGGTATAGAGACGGATTAAGAGAAGCCACAGAATAAAACTCCGGTGATAGTCAATACTCTTATCGCCACCAACACCCTTCACAGAATCTCAGCCGAGGAACCACGAGCGCGTGAATCAGAGCATTGGCAAACAAACAGAAAACATAAATTCGACCGGAAAATTCCCTAGCAATCGGAACCCCGAGCCCGTGGGAGAGCTACCTGAAGCCGATCCAGCGAGAGCGTTGTTCACCCACTGTGTTTCTACGACGGCTTTCACAGTCGGATGAACGGCTTGCAGCGGGACATCACCGTTCGTTTCTCCCTCCGTCTCTCACCGAATTCAACGAGGCAAGCGTACACAAATCAAATCCCTAGATAAGAAACAACGTGCAATGCATGGGGATTGCCGGTAGATATCCCTAGCATAAAAATACTAAAAATGGGTTGCCGGTAGCGGCGGTAGGTGCCCCTATTACAGCAATAGTACACACTCAAAAAATGGAGACGACCGGTAAATAACCCTACTATAACCATACTAAGGAATTATCGGTACACACCCCTGCCATAACAATATTAGCGTAACATGTGGATAAACGGTAGATAGACACACCCCTCCTAATGGGTGCCAATAACAATACTAAAACATGGCGGGATTACTGGTAGACATCTATACCAAAACATGGGGATTACCGATGAATAACCTAAAATAACAAAAGCAAAACATGCGGATTACCGGTAGGTACCCTGGTCCAAGACTGCAGCTGCAGACGTTCATAATCTCGAGGCATCCTATTTGGTAGAAAGGTGGGAAGCATTTGAGAGGAAGTGGATGGAAAGAAAATCCCGACTTACCCGGTAAGTCATAGCGAAGGCGCAAATTTGCCGCGCTGCAGTGAGGAGCTGATCGGAGTACACAGGATCCACCGCCTTAAAAACCAAAGACGCGGCAGCGAGCGCGGCTGACGTTTGTCCTGCTACATCAGCCCCAGGCTTCGTCGGAGAGATTTTGAGAGATGGCCTCGGCGCCGTCATCATTTCCGGTCGAACCCAGCACTTATGGTCTATGTTCCCATCACCAACCTGCCGAAAGCAAGCAGCAAATGAAACAGTGCACAACCACCAGGACAATGAAAGCAAGGCACAAGTGAAACAATTCACCACCACCAGGTAAAATGTGAATATGAAGAACGTTGCACAACCACGAGGAAAATGGAAACAATGCACAATCAGAAGTCTGCTAAAATGAAAGCAATGAACAATCAGGTAATGTAAACAGTGCACAATCAGGAAAATGAAAACAATGCACAATCAGGAAGTGAATAATGTACAATCAGGTAATGAAACAACGTACAATCAGATAACGAAACAGTGTGCCACAAGGAAATGAAACGATGTACCGCGCCGTGCAGATCAGAACAGAACAAAGGTGGAAAAGACGGAGGCCAAGTGCGATACATATATATTGTCACATGACATCAGAGCGCCAAATCGAAAAACGAAAGAAAACAAGAACATCAAGAGAAACTTTATTCATTTTTAATCTTCTTCCTTACACATATTTATGTGACGATATACATATATAACGATGTATATATATATATATTGTCACGTTGTGAATCAGAGCGCAGAAGGGAAAAAAAGGGGAAAGAAAAAAGGAAAAGGAAAAAAGGGGAAGTGGAAGAGGCAAGGAAAGCTCCACCTGTTCATAACCTCTTACGTACAAGGCAGCGTTATATATATATATATATCGTCACAAACAGAACTGCCCGGTAAACCGTAGGCAGAGAGAGAGAAGCGGACAACAAACGAGGGGCCGTGACAAACTGTTTCGTCGGAGTTTCACCGACTCATCAGGAGGCTGAACCCTCGTATACATATTGTCACATGAATATCAAAGCGCAAATGCGAAAAAAAGAAAAACAGGAAAAATATATACATATAGCAAAACGATGAATAGGCGACGATATTCGGCTTGGATGTTGATCAATGATGAATAGGCCAATGTATGTGATGATGTACATGAATATCAGAGCGCAAATGCGAAAAAAAAAAAAAACAGAAAATATATATCGTCACAAATAGAACTGCCCGGTAAACCGTAGGCAGAGAGAGAGAAGAGGACAACAAACGAGGGGCTGTGACAAACTGTTTCGTCGGAGTAGCAAAACGATGAATAGGCGACGATATTTGGCTTGAATGTTAATCAAAATGATGAATAGGCCAATGTACTGGATGTTTTAGGAAACCGCGCCGTGCAGATCAGAACAGCACAAAGATGGAATACACGGAGACGAAGTGATTATATATATATCTATATCGTCACAAATAGAAC